GAGAGAGAGAGAGAGAGAGAGAGAGAGAGAGAGAGAGAGAGAGAGAGAGAGAGAGAGAGAGAGAGAGAGCGCTTTGACGCCGAGTGCGCCGGACACTGCGCCCCCCCACAACTCTCGAGATGTGCAGAATGAGAATGAACTTCCTGCTAGAACATGGGCAGATGCGGCCAAAAAAATTGCGCTTTTTTTTTTCGCCAATACTTTTCATAGGTCGCGACGCCCTCTCATTCTCTCTCTCTCTCTCTCTCTCTCTCTCTCTCTCTCTCTCTCTCTCTCTCTCTCTCTCTGCCTCTCTCTCTCTCTCTGCCTCTCTCTCTCTCTCTCTATTCTCATATGAGAATAGATATATATATATGTATATATATATATATATATAAAGAGAGAGAGAGAGAGGGAGAGAGAGAGAGGGCGTCAGAGAGTGTCTTCTCTGACGCCGAGTTTGGTGCGCCAAACTCGGTGTCAGACACTCTCTGTCACCCTCTCTCTCTCTCTCTCTCGTTCTTTCCCTCCTCCCCCCCGCCCATTTTTTTTTTTTTTCGTTCATTATATAACATTTCTCGTCGACGTTTATTTGTTCTTTTTTTTTCTTCTGTTTTTTTTTGCCTGGTTTTCTGGAAATACAGGTCGTTCGCCGGTGGGTACGCCGCCTGATGCGGCGCGTTGACAGCCGCGTCGGCTTTTTCAAGCTGGGCGAGGTACTGGTGGTGGCGTTCTGCCATGTCATCATGGAACATATCTTTCTTTTCAGAGCCTACCGCTACTCCTAAGGCTATACAGGGGAAACCTTCAAGCATAGCTTTCTACGTCTCTTCGGTGAAGGGAGGTTACCTCTCTCAGCGGAGAGGAGTAACGGCATGTTTGCCCCTTTGCCCTGGCGTTTAGGGTGCAGGGTTGGGGCCGCCGGTGGGGGCCCGGCTAACACAAGGACCGAGCATTTGCCAGTAACTGTGCCTCCCTCCGTTTTCATCTCCCCCCACCCCCATCGAGTAACAGTAGTGTCTAAAGCCTACACTCTCCCACACACCACACGCAATCCACTCACACAAGCTCTCACGCCCGTGCTGGCTGAAGACCTTACGAATACCCACTGGGAGTACCTCACGGGTAAAGAAAAATCGAAAAGGTAATTTGAGACCACCTGTGGAGGTGGTCTCAGAAAGGGGTCCTCCCGGCCCCCGCAGGCTGCTGACAAAAAGGTCACCAAAAAGTGCGTGGGCCTCTCCATTGTGACCCGAGAACTGCCTGAAGTTTTGGGATTTAAACCACCAGTACTTGGCCCAGCTATCGATGCCGAGCCTGAAATGCCCCTGTGTGCCAATTTTCGCCGAAGCGCCCGGGTACCGTTTTGAAATTTTTTTGGCTGGCGCTTCCAGCCATTCTGGTCCGGTACCCCGAAGCCCTAAAGGCGCGGCGCTTTAAGGGCATCAGGTCCCGTGCCAGTATGCCCTCCGCTGGTATATCACCGAACTACTGACCTTTGTTCGAACTCCTCTGGGAGATGAGTAAAGTACTGCACTGAGGTAGCTAGCATGTATACACTATTCACCACAAGCACAAAAAAAGGATTCATTCTCATTTTGCACATTTGGTGAGCGGTGGAGCGAGGCCAAATCTCACATATATCCTCACCTATGTTCAAGTCCCAGAACTACCAATTCCCTGTCCATTTGATTCCGAAGCTTCCAGAAGTGAGCTACTTTTGAGGGCATAAAAGCTCGCACATCACTCACCAAATGTGGACATATACACCGCCATAGTTTTTGTCTTTTCTGGGTCCGGTTTGTTGTGCGGCGAGGCCCGTACTCACCCTGGGACTTCGGGCCTCGCCGCACGACTCACCAAAAGCACAAAAGACAAGAATTATGGCAGTGCATTTTCGCCTGTTTTACGGAAGATTCATTTTCATTTTGCATCGTTTGGTTAGTGGTGCGGCCAGGCCCTCCACATCGCGGGCCCCGGATACTTGTCATCATAGTGCTACTACCGGTTGAAGTCTACTCTGATTCCTCACTTCTTGTCTTCCTCTTCAGCTCCGTCATCGCTTTTGCCTCCTCATTTTCTCTTCTGATCATCTCTCCACGTTATCGTTTATGTACACGGCCAGGGGACACCCACCACCCCAAGGCGCGTTCTTCCCAGCGTTAGTCTCACACACTCTGCTCTACACTCTGCTCTACACACACTTCTTTTTTTTTTCTTTGTTTTTTTCACACATTTTTTTTCCCTCCTTTCGAACACTCTTTCCTCTCGCAGCGACGCTCTGTTTTTTTTTTTTTTTTTTTTTTTTTTTTTGACGCTCTGTTTTTCGATCATGGCCGTCGATCCTGTTTTTGCCCGGGTACGAGCGCCCGTGGGCTCTGTGGCAGACACCATGATGAGGCAGGTGATGTCGTTGGGAGGTGACGTGTTCAATCTGCTGGACGAGCCCAGTCGCTTTGCGTTCTTCCAACCTGAAGAAGCACAGGCCGCTGCCAACACTGCAGTGGACATCAAGGAAACGCCGACGGCCTATGAGTACTTAGCCGATTTGCCAGGATTGAGTCGCAAGGACGTGAAGGTGCAAGTGGAGAACGGCAATATCCTGGTCATTACAGGAGAGCGCAATCGGGAGACGAAGAAGAAGAGAGGAGAGGGAGGAGAGGAGGGAGAGGAGGGAGAGGCAGGGGACATTGTCAAGTATCATCGCCTCGAGAGGAGGATGGGAAAGTTCATCCGAAGCTTCACTCTACCGAGCAACGCTAATCTCGGAAAGATCAGTGCGCGCTGCAAAGATGGTGTACTCTCTGTCATTGTACCGAAGATTCCACCGAAGGAACCCGAGAGGCCAAAGACGATCGACGTGCCAATCAGCAGACTGTAATCAGGGGCCGCTGCTGTAATACGGCGTAAAACTATATTACTAGCTTGCTTGTTTGTTAATCACCTCAATTGGAAGACTCTTAACAGCGCGGACAGGTCTCGAGAGGAAAAACTGTGATGGTGGATGGGGCAGGCCAATGAACGACAAAGCACAGCACGCTGTCACCTGCTGGGCGTTCCACGTCGCCCACAGGTAATCCATTCCTCTCTCTCTCTCTCTCTCTCTCTCTCTCTCTCTCTCTCTCTCTCTCTCTCTCTCTCTCTCTCTCTCTGTGTG